CCAGACGCGCAATATTAGAAATTTACTCGTCGGTGGTAACTCGAAACACCGACAGTGGCGAAGCTCGAGTGGGATGGGTAGAGCTCGCCGGCAGCGAGCGGAGCTCTGAGGAGAAGTGTGCCGGCGGTGGGCAGACCTTGGGACATCCAAGCTTGCGCTGCCAGAGCTTGGCTATGGCGACGGGGGATCCTTGGCCATCCAAGCTTGTGCCACCATCATCCGCCCGTCCGCCTATTTGCCTCGCCCAAACTCGCGCCGCCGCCGCCCGTCCGCCTCTCGTGAACTCGTGCGATTCACGCGCCGCCACCCATCCACAAGGATGAAGAGGGGCACCGGCCTCAAAGAAGAAGATGAGGAGGCTCGGGCTCGGTAGCGAGGAAGAAGAGGGGCACCAGCCTCAAAGAAGAAGAAGAGGAGGGGTGCCGGTCGTGAGGAAGAAGAGGAAATCGCCAGCTGCTAGGAAGAAGAAGACGGGTGTCTTCGTTTTCTTGGGTTGTGTCCAATTCCCCCCAATACAGAGGGTCACGCTCTGTATTGAGTGTGAGGAGGCGCAGGCGTGGTGAATACCCTTTGGCATTGAAGTTGATTTCGAATTCCAAATTCCAAGCCATCCAAACAGCGGCATTTGGAGCTATCCAATACCAATGCCAATTCCATAGACTCAATATCTACATCCAAACGCAGTGTTAGGGTTTTTGTTACTACTAGTAAAAAATCCATTTGCTTAATAAAAAATGGTCTGTCTAGTTGAGTTAAAATATTTTATATGTACAATTTTACTCTTATATGGCTTGCCAGGATAAAAAAAATGGCTGGCCGTCGACAAGAATTACGACCATTTATGGTCGTGCACCCATTATTGAACTAAGATTACTACTATTTGGCTATACCTGAATAAAATCATATATTTTATTGATATGGTCTGTGTTTGTAGAATAAATTTATAAACTATTTACGTGGATCATCACAATAAAATTTGTGGGAACACGTTGAATAAAGTTGAACACACAACGTGCAAAATAATGGTACAACGTGCTTCTTGTTTAGAAAAAAATCACGTGCACATTCAATTTGTAGTAATAATGGTTTGCAATCCTCCTTGTCCTTAGAATTATCATCCTAGAGTAAATTTCCTATGATTAAAACAATTGTATTTGTGAGGAGGAGAAGAATTGACTTCTTTCTCAAAACACAAGTTGACATCACCCCTCACCCGTAATGCACAATAATGCTAGATAAATCCATGCAATTTTTTTTTGCCCAAACTAAATACAGACAGGTCAATTCGAACAACAAAATATAACAACTCAACTAATCAATCAAAAAGATAGGAGAAAGGCAATGTGCAATACCTCATTGAAATCCCTTTTCGTTATCTCCCTTCATGGCATGTGGTTTCTCGACGGTAAGGGAAGAAGAAAAATCAGACATGGGTCAAGTTGGGAAGAGAAGGAAAAGAAGTGGTAGCTAGGCGTTGCCGTATGGAGAAGGAGCAGGAGCCAAACCAAAGTAACCCCGACTATTATTGGGATGGAGCAGCACCTTTGCTCCGCAATATTCCCTCCCCTCCTAGGTTAGGGGAGAGCCCGGGAGAAATATGGACACATAGGCCCAAAATACACTCCGAAATTGAAGCTAGAGGGGAGAAAATCGTGTGCTACCCTAGAGAGCTTGAGAGCAATATCTGCCACAATCCAGTGCCCCTGCGTGTGCCCCCACCACCAGTCACTACACCCCCCCTCTAGCCTTGCCACTTGTTGTTAGGCCGTGTTTAGATGTCAAAATTTTTTGGTTTGGGGTACCGTAGCCTGTTTGTTTGTATTTGGCAATTAGTGTCTAATTATGGACTAATTAGATTCGAAAGTTTCGTCTCGCGATTTCTCACCTAACTGTGCAATTAGTTTTTTTTTTGTCTACATTTAGTACTCCATGCATGTGCCGCAAGATTCGATGTGATGAGTACTGTCCAAAATTTTTTGAATCTAAACAGGCCTTTACTTCTTCGAGCACTGTCACTGCTAGTCACTGCCTCCACGCATCACATCAACCTCCCCTCAAATTGTATGCCCTACTGTCTCGCGTCCTCAAATCACTGACCTATTTGGTTCTTCCCACCTCATATGCTTGCGACCATGTCATTGAAATTGTATGGGGGAAACATAGTAAAAGAGGCAGGAATATTATGACCTCGCATATGCACAAGAAATCACCATATCATCAATGCCAAACTTTTTTTATTCTATCAGAACGTTTTCACGCTTTTTACGTTTTTCTTCGTATAAACATCCCCATTTGAGAAAAAAAATGTTCCGCCAAAATGTGTCTAGTGTTTACTCTAGATGGGAAGCTTTACCACTCCACTTCCACTCATCGTCCCACTATTCGAGTGGACAACTCATACGGGCAGATGGTGAGTCAAATCATACCGCTTCCCGCCCACAGCGTCCCGTCCCGTCCCCATCTGAGATGCATACTCGATCTCACCGAAAAAGGAAAAACAAGTCCGATCCAACTCTTGGTGACATTGCACAAAAAAAAATATACAAACTAGACCACCTACGACAGGCTTTGCATTTGCCTGGGTTAAAGTAAATTTTGCCCCAAATGGCATATGTCCTTGCTGCCGTGGACCACGAGAACCATATTGAGATTCATGTCCAACGACATTTGTGCCCAGCAGAAGAGAGACAATAGAATTATGCTGGACACGAATCTCAGTGTGGATCTTGTGATCCACAATAGCACGGCATGTGCCCTTAGAGGAAAAAAACTGCGTTCATGTGCCTGGTCCATGCACGTGCATCCTCTTAGCCTTGGATACACACGCACACATGCCATGCCTTGCTGCGACTGCCGCCGTCCAAGACATCTCAATCACGTAGTTCTGTGACTAAACGTGATAGCAAGACACGCGTACTGTCCTAGTTACTAGTATAGCAAGGAATGGTCTGATAAAAAAACATACTCCCTCCCTCTAAAAAAAGATATAATTCTGCTTAAAAAAAGATATAATTCTAAAACAGTGCTGCTATATTAAATTATGTTAAGTTTAATTAAATTTATATAAAATTATTAATATTTATAGTATTAAATAGATATCATTAGATTTGTAATGAAACTTATTTTTGTAATGTATTTATTTGGTGTAATATTAATATTTTTATCTATATATTTAATTAAGTTCCAGTTACTTTAACTGGGAATGCACTAGAATCTTTTTTTTTTGAACGGAGTTAGTGTGCAACGTCGTCAATGACGGGCCTAAACATTTGAGAGTTCTTCTCAAAACTAAAAGACTGTACAGATCCTCTTTAAAGCGCCTATATATATATATATATATATATATATATATATATATATATATGCGTGGCGTAAAGAATTCAACCAGAAAGTAGTACGTCGACCCAAACGCGTCGTCGTCGTTGTTGTGCAGAGTCGAAAACAAACACGAAACAACGTGCGTGTCGTCCGCTGCACGGTGCAGGGCAGGCCAGTGGGCTGGGCGAGGCGGTGGACGGTGTGCACACATCTCAATGCTAAACCGTGTGGTGTGCTGGCGCACAATGCGAGGGCATATGCCCCTAAGGGCAAAAAAAAAAAAAAACTGCGTTTGCAAAGTGCAGTAGATATCAGATGGGGGAATGCATGCCACTCACCATCCCACTATTCTAGTGGACAAGTCATACGGGTGCCATTGAGAAGCGTAGAAAGAAAGTTAACCTAGAATCCAGAAGCCACTTGTGTAGCGCATGGCTGAATGACTAGTAAAAAACTTAACCAGCGAACGGGGCAGCACGGCGGCGTCCCGTCCGCGGCGTCCCGTCCCGTCCAAGGTCCAAGATTAGCGCTTCTCTCCGTCCCGTCCAAGCTGGAACCGCGGGCGGCGCGCGGCTACCGCTGCTGGTGCTTATCCGGAACCCGCGGCTGAAAGCGAAACCCCCCCGTGCGCGCTTGACCGTTCTTTTCACTTGCTCCCCGCAGCCCGCAGCCCGCAGCCCGCAGCGCGCTGCCCGCTCTGGTCTGGACGTGTGGTGGCCTGGTGGGGTTGGTGGCGCAGCGGCAGGCAGTCCTACGCTGCAGGCAGCACTGCACGTAGGTGCCGGCGGTTGGCTCGGTCCTTGGAAACGAGTTGACGAGTACGCCGCCCGACCGCGCAGCTCGGCTGCGCCACTCCACTCGTCACTCTCGGCGCTCGCGGTTGGGCCGTCGTTTTCTCGTTTACCACAGCCTTTCTTCTTCTTTTGGATACAGTACAGTACCAAAAGCCTATCACTATCGCGTATCGCCACTGGTAATCCGTCACAAGATTTTCAGGGCGCAACGCAAGAGAACAATGGAATGCTTAAACGAGTGCCATCTGGCATATAATGGCCATGTTCGCTTGGAGAAATTTTGAGGAATCTGAATGAATCTGTGAGAGCATGAACAGTATTTTTCATCCGGGAACGGTGTTTTCTGGCTGGTATTTGCACCAGCCGAACGGCCCCAATATGCTCGTATTTCTGAGAGCAAAGGATGAGATAAAGAAAAAGACAGGTAAGTACAGGATGCCAGATGAAAGAAAGAAATTTAATGAATTAACATTGACTCCAGCACTTTCCTACTTTCCTTTACCATGTTTGTTTTGACCTGGGGTTTGGCCTCTGACGAGTTATATATGGCTCGGTCAATGATTTTTTATTTCTTTATAAAAAAACAAAATTTTCAGTATTTTTTCTTAACCATATACTGAGTACAGTGGACAAGCAGTAAACTCGTCAAAGAATCTCACCAGCCAGAGTACAAGAATGTTCAGTCTATCAACACAGTGTCCCAAGTAAATCCATTGAGAGAAAAAAAATTCTCTATCCACCAATCAATACACAACAAAAGAATGCCACCCCTCTTCCAAATTAATCCACCTAGCTATGCTTAGTTCAGTACACAACGAAAGAATGCTGGTCGGTCTAGTTGAGATCCTGTCAGTAACCACTGCACGCTTGTGTGTACAGTACAAGAGCTCAAAAACTAGTAGATGCAGCGCCAGAAAATGGCGCGAACCAGAGGTCCGCCTCGTCCGGCTTCATCAGGTCCTGTAGTAGACCTTCCCACACCTCGTCTCCCGCTCCGCCGTCCACGCCGCCCAGCTGCCACTCTCCCGGCGCCACCTCCGCGGCGCCGTCTGCACTGCACGGCGACGGCGGCGTCAGCATCGGTGTCTGCGTCTCGGTGTTCGCCGCCGCGGTGGCATAAGTGTCGCCGCCATGGCCGTGGCCCTGGAACGACGACAGCGCCTCGTGCCCCGGGAAATTGAGCTTCGCGCGCGCGCCGCGGAACTCGATCGCGGCGCAGTCGTAGGCCCTGGCGGCCTCCTCCGCGGTGTCGAACGTGCCCAACCACACGCGCGCCGCGCGCCGCGGGTCGCGGATCTCCGCCGCCCACTTCCCCCACGGCCGCTGCCGCACGCCGCGGTACATGTTCTTCTTCCTACGCCGCCACGGCCTCTGCTGGTGCCCCCCTCCCGCCACTGCTGTCGCCACCATCTGCCCCGCGCCGCAGTTCACTGCTGCTTCCTGCGTCAGCTCCGGCGGCGCCCCGAAGAAGTCGCAGCCGAGGCATCCGTCGATGCCGCAGACCCCGCACGCCTCGCCGCCCGCCACCGTGACGACCTCCGGCGGCGGCGTGCTGTACCCGGACACCACGTGCCGCAGCGCCGCGACGATGATGGCGTCCTCCTGCTCATGGGAGATCAGCCTGCCGCGGCCGAACCCCACCACGCTCTTGGCGTCTCCATGAATCGAAGCCTGTATTCTCTGACCACTGAAGTGCTGCTCCTTGAAACCTTGCTTCCCGGCCATGGCGGAGATGAGCTTCTTGGTCATTACCGAGCTCGAGAGATTGAGGCTTGTAGTTGGAGGGTGTTTGAACTTTGAACTTTTTGAACTGAAGCGGGAAGTTGCGGGTGGAGGCGCTTATATAGGTTGACGGCCATCGACAGCCACACGGCGACACGGTGAACGGATACAGAGCGGCGCCAGGTGGGAGCTCGGAACGAGACTGGTCCATGGATCTTTTTCCACTTCCGGTTAGAAGCTCCGGGCTGTGGAAAACGTGTGGATGCCCGAGCGCGATGGTTAGTGCGGGCACGGGCGGGCCGTCGGTTAGTGCGCGGCCCGAGCGCGATGGGAGTGGTGCTGACGTTGCAGATGATGCTCTAGAGTGCTGACCTCAGTGAGAGGGACCGAAGTGATAGACAGCATTTCGAGGGTTGGAAGAGTCTTCCGAGAAAAGTCAAAGAAGGATGGGGATTTTGGGGTGACGTGGCTCGTCCACGGCGGCTACCAATGGCTTCGGGTTCAAGAACATGGTCAGTCTTTTTTTTAAGGTTAATTCGAACGCTGCCTTGTAACTCTTCGAGTTTAGAAATATACCATTGTAATTCGCGATATTGTAAATATGTCATTGTAATTCCCGTGAAACATGATTCATGCCATTAAGTAGGCTTTCAGGCGTTCGTATTCGGCAACATGTTTAGTATGGCCCGTATTGCCCCTGTCTAGTCGCCGCAGCACCTCCGCCGCACGTCGCATTGCCTGCAGCATCCGCTCCTTGGGTGGTACCGTGCCCAGCTGACCTGTATGTTGCATTGGATTGCCCAGCTGACCGGTCTGAACAAAGCATATGCCATAAAAAAGTCACAGATAATTTGATAACAAGTTGAAAACTTCTGATAATTTGATAACAAGTTGAACACACTGAACAAAGCATATGCCATAAAAGGTCACAGATAAGTTGATAACAAGTTCACAGACTAGTGCCTGGACTTTAACTGACTACAAGTTCATAGGACTTTAACTGAATACAAAGTTCACATGACTTTAAATGGATACAAGTTCACAGGACTTTAACTGAACAAAGCATGGCCTGATTAATAAAATTCAAAAGCACGGCCTGATTTCTAGTTTAAAAGCACAGCCTGATTTCTAGTTCAAAAGCACGGCCTGATTACACACAACAACCATCAAAAGCACTCGACATTAAGATTCAGGAATCAGTGACTTGAGCACTGAGTTGGGTATTAAGGAACTGTGACAAGCTCGTGACAACTCCAGGCTGTGGTGCGGCGGCAGCCTTCTGTTGCTTTTTCTTCACTGGAGTCTTCTTCTTGGGCGTCTTCTTCCTTTTGAGACTCTTTTTCTTTTTTGTGCTGCCTTCTTCTTCTTCACCTCTGACGACCCAGCAGTGTCATCATCTTGTTGCCGTTTCATGCATAGTATAGTGGTTAGCACTAGGTTCAGTACAGAATGCACAAGAAATGCTTTGAGAATGAGTCACTAACCTCTTGTTCTGTGATCTGCCCCCAATTTCTCCATCGGAGTCAACCTTAGCAAATTTGCAAGTCTTGGCAAAGTGACCGAAGTCACCACACCTTTTGCACTTCACCTTTTCCTTGTTCGCTTTCCCTTCAAGGCAGCCCCTAATTCTCTGTACTCTTGGTCTGCCTGGTGATCTTCCTAGCAAGGGTGGAAATATTGTGAATCCAAGATCCACCACAGGCCACTGTGTTCTGTCTGGAAAAGGCTCTACTCTTCCTTCATAAGCAGCCCTAAATCTTAGTACAGAATAATATTCATGCACATAGTCTTCTATTTTCATTCCACTATTGGACAATATCCAAGCTAATGCATGCTTGCAGGGCTTGCCTGTGAGCTACCACTCTCTGCATGAACATGAATGATGTTGGAGATCAACTGTGTGTCTCCTCTGATTGTTCCAGTTGTCCAGAAGTGTCACTTCAGCCACGTCTTCATCACTACTTGATACCTTAACCACTTTGAGATTATTGCTGATAGCATTCAACTCCTTCATGACATTAGGGAGTATACCATCACGCATTTCCCTACCAATCTACCCCTACAAATGGTCTGCAACCTGCCAAAAATCCATCTACACAAGGCTTTAAGGCTACAAAAATCCTTTTGAACCTCTTCTTCTTATTCCCTTCTACCTCTATTTCTACAATGCTTTCTGGTGAACTAAGCTCCATTTGTGCTTTCCAGTTCACCAACAATTGGAAACTTTCCTCATATTTACCATGTATGTGCTGAAGAGCTAGCTTCAAACCTGCCCATGCCTTAGAATACTTCAACTTGATCCCATAATCATCTTCCAGTTTGTCCCTAGCATCCTTGGCACCTTTGTTTGGATTTTTCTTGAGCCATTCTGTCAACCTGCTAGCACACCAGTCTTGTGTTGCCATTTTTCCTTCTCTCAGCTTTGTAGTAGGACAGTTATGCTCAGCAGGCAATACTTTAATCTGCAACAAAATTGAATACATGTTACAAAAGTGTACCAAAAACAGTTTACAATAGAAAAATAAGAATACACATGTTGTACCTCTATTGTTTTGCCATCATAAATCCTTGACGCATGTATTCTCCATGGGCAGCCCTCAGCTTTGCACTTGGCAATGAACCTGGTCTTGTCAGTCTTCACATCAGCAAATTCAAATCCAGTGATCACAGCATAGTGCCTCACAACTTTCCTGAATGCTATGATATCAGGAAACAAGGCACCTTTCACAATGTTGGGATTTTCTGGATCATGAAGGACATTTATCTCCTGAGGATCTGCATCATTAACTTTTGCCTCAAGAGGAACACCTCCTTCAGCAGGAATATAATCAGAATTGTCATCAACTGGTTGTGCTGCAGTGGCATTTGTGGTTGGCTGTGCAGGTGGTACTAAGATATAGATGTGTTCATCATCAACGCCCACATACTCCTCTTCATTATCAAACATGTCTGGCTCCCTAGCAGGCTCAAAGTCTGGCTCCTTTGTTGTAGCTTCAGTAGGTTCTGGCATGTTTTGCAAGAGTTAAGAGATTACCTGGCCTTGTTGCCAGCCATGGCCGACGAACTGCTCCCACACGGCTCGCCGGTCGTGGGGAAGTCTATCATCTTGCTCAAGCCACGACCATGGACTCCAATCGATGTGCAGACTTGGGGAATCAAATCTCCTTCACCACCACCACCTGCTCCAGGCACGAATCGCCGCCTGCACAGGTTGCACAGACTCCGTCGAGCCTGCACAGCCTGCGCCGCTGCCGCCGTCGAGCCGACTCGCCTGCGCCGCCGCCGACTCGCCTTGCTGGGTTAGGGTTCGGGGACGGGGAGAGAAGAGACGAGAGAAAGACCGAGAAAGAAAGCAAAGCAAGCCGCGAGCGACCTTGACTCCTCATGTAAGTCGGATGAGGCAAGGGCAATACGGGCCATATGAAAAATGTTTCCATATACGTACGCCTGCAAGGTGGGCCACAGGTCGTTGCAAACGTACTTAATGGCATGAATCACGTTTTATGGGAATTACAATGGCATATTTACAATATCACGAATTGCAATGGTATATTTCTAAACCCGAAGAGTTACAATGGCAGCATTCGAATTAACCCTTTTTTTATAACACATCGCCAGTCTGTTGAACTACTTGCTGCAGGATATACTCCAAGGGATTTTCATCTGTCCTAAACCCAATTATCGTAAGTTTAATTAAATCATAGAAAAGAAGTACCATATACGACATCAAAGAGGCAAATTAAAAATAAATTTTCTCGTCGTGATCTATCATAAATTTAAACAATCACATCATAACATATCTATGTTTGGACAGACAATAGCATTTTATAACATTTCTAGTAAATCTTATTTGATATCGCCAATATTATTGTTAGTGAATAACCAAATTCAAAATTAAAATTAAAGAAAATAGTAGTCCGTTTCCAATGTGTTGGGGAAAAAAGCTAAATAAAAGTTGGCGTGTTACTCTAAGTAATGTTAATGAAATAAACTCTTTCACTCATATAAGGGATATAAAATACCATATTGATCCTATAGGTCCAGACTATGATGGTCTAGGTCCATCAAAATATATAGAAGGAAAATGAATAAAGAATCCAATTATGGAAAAGAGATAATGGTATAGAATTGTGTTACGATTAGACTTTTATGCAAATGCACAAGAGCTATCCAAACAAAACATCGAAGTCTTGACATGCACATAAAAATAATCATTCGACCAATTTCAATCCTAGGCCACTCTTTCCCCTATAGTGGTATATGCCTCACCATATGCCTCACCATCTTAGCATGTCCTCTCGCCATAGCCCTAAGCTCATCGAGTCACTCTTCAACATTTTCATGTTGAAAATTTTTGGCATGACCATCGATGTCGATAAAAAAGGGAAACAACCAAATAAAATTTGTCGATTCCAACAACCATAACTCAGATCTGGTGGCTTTTCAAGGAAGTGCCCTAGGGGAGTAACATGTTCCACTGCCCAGAATTATGAAGAAAATAAAAAAAAGTATTATCGATTTTTGATATCTTACATGCAATTGGTCTATCAATTCCCAAATGTGCATACATGAGAATAAGTTCACGAGCAATGTAACATGCATAGTATGCCATTTTCTTCGTAAAAAGCCAGTGACGAGTGAAAACTGTGATGTGGTCATAGCATGGCTGATAACAATACAGTATATAGTAGCACAGGCCGAAGTGATGATTCCATAAGAAGATGTGAAGTAACGATGGATGTCGGCGTGATGCCAGGGTCGTCCAACAGTTGCTTGAGGCCACAGTGGCTATAGAGGATATAAGTTGTATTCTGATAAATTCGGTAATATTTTAGGTAAAAAAGGCAACTACGGATCCTCAAGCAAGGGAACAATATGATCCAAATTTGAAATTTATAAGAGGCCAAAGAACTAAAAAAATTGAGATACTTTGATGGTGGGTTTTTTGAAAAATAGATCTCATCACCAAGAGAAAACTAAGGGCCTGTTTGGTTGACATCCAAAATTTGTCATGCCAAAGATTTGGT